AAATTACTCATAAGCGACTATTCTGTTTAGAATATTTGTACGAGATTCGCTTTCTTCAAATGACAACTAATAAAAGACAGAGATACATACGAGAACAGTTTAAAGGACGAAGATTTTTAATTGAACTTCATAGTTGGTGTATATAGGATAGATATAAACTTGCTGTTTTTAGAAAGTAACATAATAGTAAAGAAAAATCAGTAAAAAGAAATGAATCATATGTTATTCAGAGAAATAGAGAGATTCTATAATAAATAAATAGATAATGTTAATTGTTACAAAAAAAGCAATAAACTGATATTTATAATTTGATGAGTACACTTCGTTTAGTTCTTTAAAAATATTTAAATTCATCCATGTTGTACGTTTCTTCTCACTACCGTCGGCATACCGCGGTGCTCATCAGAGCTGCTAACTCGTCGTCTTTTTCAGGCTGGTCTGCGCAGCAAATCAGATCGACTGACATATCTGTTTTTTTTTCAATCCACCAAGTTCTATAACCTTATTATAACGCACCATTCTAGTTTGAAATTGTATATGTAATTAATTTTCATGAAGGTAGTATAATAACAAGTTCTTGGACAACACAGTTAGTTAAAACAAAGAGACAAATTAGTGAAGATATTTTTTCTACAAGGATGTGGGTGGCTGTGTATGAAGAGATGACCCACATCTCCACAAAATCATGAGATTGTGGTGCCATCTTGAAGTTATACTAGGGAATATATTATTACATCACGAATAGGTCAACATGTTTGGCCTGAGCTCGCCTGTTAGCCTTGCCAATAGTATATAGATGGATTAAATCAGGCTAAAATTTCAAAACTTAGTCTGACCCAGTCACCTGTCTGGCTGACAGTTCTCGTATCTATAAGAATCACCGGTATTTTAGCAGTAGATCACCGACCAGAGAACAAGTATCGGTATACTGAAGTGGAATGGTGATCAGAGTATAGCCGACCATTTAAATATCGAATTACCGTTAATATAGCGCACATTATACTGAATAGACTATCGGTGATTTTTGTCCGCTTTGAATCACATAGAAAACTATTCGTCTATAGGATGATCCATATATCTTCATTATATGGAATTGTAATCAATTCGTAACACAAGTTATTGGCCATCTTTTGTTTCATTGAGTTTCACAATCAATATGTACATACATATAAAATTGCTCAAGTACTTCCGTGAGTAATTAGAATAGTCGTACTCATTGGATGAATATTTCCGCTAGAGATCTTTATCCAATGGTTCGATTTTATTTCTTCAGTTTATATTTCATTGAGTCATAGTGCAATGTGTTATTAATATGAATGCATTCGATTGATTGATTATTTATCTGACTAAGTAGCAGCGGATATCTTCGTAGCATTTGTTTTCGTGTGAAGCATGTACAAATCCTTAGTGATCGGACACGAATTAAATTGATATGGCAGAGATAATAGTGAATCCATCCTGTCTCTTCTTAAATAAATTAACCCACTGCCTGCAACAAAAAATGCTTGATCTTCTATTTCGTCTCATTTATACTCATAACTTTCAAATTTAAACGATTCTTCAAAAAATCAAAAAGATTTTGCAAAGAGATTATTAGTATTTTTAAAAGACCAGAAATAACATTAACATTAGTCTTTTAAGATTTTCAGCTCAAAAACTTGAAATCTAGACATACTTTGATGTAAATATATTAATTAAAGTTTTCATTTTTGGAGAAATTAATCAGTTACGGGAGTCTTCTATTACGCACAGCATGCCATTTCTCCGATGAGGTCTGCTATTGTGGAAGGAAAGAAGAGTTAACTAGTTTTTATTGTCAATACTTCGTACATGAACAGTAATATGTAAATTAAGACAAGTTATTGAAAAATCTCTTAGCACAGTACATGTAGGATTAAAATGTGAAACACAATGCACGTAGTTACTATTACTAATCACAGGAAGATTGTTTTATTCTATCTATTTTAGGACATATTTCTTCATCATAGTTTCACTTAATCCTTCAGAAATGTAATAAGGAAGTAATTAAGATATTATTACATAACGTCATTGATATACGGTCTGTGGTCATATACCAACAATGTTTGTTACGGTTTGTGAGGCGAATGATTGAGAATTGCTAAGATGTCTGTCATATCTAGGAGGAAGTGAGTGCAATTTACCTCCATACTTCAATACTTCTTTAAGATTGCGTTTCACAACACATTTAGTTTTGATGAACTAATACATAGACTTGATCGCCTGCTATTTTCAAATGTGACTTTCAATTAGAAAATATGTTTCCGTCTTTATTAAGCCATCCTTGTTATCATAACGATGATATACGTCAGAGGCTTTTTAACAAATACTATTTTTATAAAATTACTTCCTATATTAGATATTTTAACAGGAGATAGTTCTTTTCATAGATGGATAATCTCACAATAGACTCATTCTTATTGTTAAACAATACCAATGACACATGTCCTGCACCTCTTTTATGGACTCAAGCTATTGTTGAAGATGAAAAAGCTGCACTTGCCATTTGTATTATTGCTTCAGTTATTCATGCAATATTTTGGTTTCAATTGATTTTTTCTTCATCCATTCGACAAAAATCAATGCAATGGATCTATGCCTATCTTCTTACTGACATTTTTCTTCTTTTTCGCTTTTACTTTTCTTACACACTTCATACAACCTACACTGAATGTCATCCAAGCAGATCACGAATTGTATTTATCTGCTATCTTGAAGCAATACTTGATAATTATTTTAATATACTTAAAGTATACATTCTATTTGTTTTGAATGTATGTCGTTATGTACAAATAGTATACAATCAAAATGTATATGAAGTCCATAAGTATCTACTAATCTTAGCTCATGTCCTTATCTATGTAATTCCATTAATTGTTTACATTGCTCCATGTATTCTTGGTTGGACTGATGCAGGTGGATTTATTAGAGATACTTGTGTAATATTTTATGCAAATACTTATATTCAAATATTTAATACAATTTTTGCATTTGCATTACCTATTTTTCTTAATATCTTAGTCATTTATTCTAGTATCCGTCATGTTCGTATAAAAGCAGCTTTACAAAAATCTCAACATTATGTTTCAGCTCGTGAAAAGTTGAATCGTTCATTAGTCATTCAATTTGTTTGTTTTTATACTGTTTGGGGTGGACTTTGGTCACCAAATATTATTGTTTATCAAGCATCAATTAATGAGAAGAATCTAATTTATATTGTTGGTCTACTTAATTATATCGATGTAGCAATAGATCCAATAATTGTTGCAGCATTAGACTTTCGTCTTTGGCATGCATGGCGAAAACACATAATTCGTGTAAAAAGAACTGTACTCTTCCAAAAAATCAGTCATGGACGAGTTAAACCTTCAACAGCAAATGTCAATACAATTTCGGCTAGAACTCCACGACAAAAGACAACTACTATGTAAACACAAAAACTAAGAACACTTTATTTTCTCTACCTAAACGTTTTTTTTTCTGTCGTACAACAAAAATATATTTGTGTAGATAGAGTTTCAAACAATAAATGTATTTATTACTATTTTTTTTCTCTGAAAGATTTCCTCTAATTGAAATAAAGAACTAGAGTACTAGAACTCGTGGGTTGAGTACAGTACAGATCGAAAAAGTAACAATTTTCGGAGATATAAACTTCATTTTTAATAGTACGATTCATAAAAAATTTGATTATATGTCTTTTTAATGTTGCTGCTTAGTAGCGATATCCTTGATCACATAGTTGATTAGTGGTTCTGTTGAACTACCAGCGATGTGTCACAGTAATGTAACTCACCGGTCGCGTACTCGTACTCGCACCTAGATATGAGTATGGGTAAGATACAGATACGAAATGAATAGGAAAATCTCGATTCGGCTTCCTCTCTTTAATGTTTTTCTCTCGTTCAAAACGTCGAAGTTCGTTGGTAAAACGAAACTAAAGATAAATGCATCGTCGAATGCTTTTAAGTGTGCACGTTAAAAATCAATATGATTTTGAGATATCTTCTCTCTTTAAAAAAGTGGATTTTGGTCAAAGAAGTTGACTGTCGTTACAGGAAAATCAATTTTTTTTTGAAGGAGTAGGTTTTGTTTAAAAACTATCATTTTTCGAAAAAAAAACAGTTTCTGATGGCAAGCAATAGTCAGATAGGCTACAGTACATGCTATCCAGATCAGATGAGTGTTAATAAGTGAGTCATTCTGAAAAATATCTTGCAGTATTTTCATTCTGCAGAAATGTTTTGTCAGAGTTAGTATAAGTATTGCGAGAAAATTCATTTACAAATATTGCCCAAAATATAAAATAGTTTATGTAATGGAGATTGTTTCTAATAGATAACTGCTGAAAAACGACGAAAGTTGAGGAAATTTCTTGAAATAATACCAAAGTTACTATGGATGTGGGTATGAGTGTCAGTTAGGATAGAGTGAAAACGTACATCCACCCTGATTAAATATGAACAGTCAAAATAAACTTGACTAAAGACAGAAAGACCCGTTTTTGCTGATGAAATTTTGAGAATATCGTGAATTAGTAAGTGGTATCATCTCAGTCTTCATTCAGAAATTCGGCCAATCGCTTTATCTATATAGGATGTTCGCTAAGTTTTCACCTTCGTAATCAATATTATTTTTTTTATATATTTTATTAATGCAAAAAGGTTGATATGAACAGTATGTATACTAGATGTTTCTCTTTGTCATATGCTAGAATTTAAGCTTTTAGGCTCTAATTGTTAGAAATGTACGATCATCTTTATACATTATAGAAAACTTCGAATTACGCTTATGCTCAGAATGCCTACGATATGTGAAAGTTCAGTTGAACTAAATCAATTTTCAAAGAAATTTTTATCAGAAATAAAGGTTCGAAGAATATGATTGCAAGTTCAATGGATACTGTTAACTAAAACATTATATGCTTGTGTTTATATTGCTTTAAATTTTATTACTCTGTAGGAACTATGTCAAAAAACTTGTTTCATATTTTCTTACAGAGTGAGTTCGACGACATGTCTCCAATGACACTTTATTAGATCAGGAGGTAACGTCAAATACGTTTGTGTTATTTGAACGCTGACATTTTGAGCTAGTGACTCTCGTTATTTTTTTTTCGAGATATATTTTTTGGTAAAGGAAAAAAGTTCTTCTCCTCTATCAAAACTCGGTTATTTCCATAAAATATCTCAGTTTTATTGAAAATGTTTTTACTTGACCTATGTCTTAAGACTGAGAGGAAGAAAATCTGAAAAAATGGCCACAAGAGTCATTAGCTTCAAGTATCATCTGGGCAATAAAAAAAAGAATAGACTTTTTCGGTCTTGTGGCCGAATGCAGTTGAAGATTTGAGAAGACCCTTAAAATGGGTGGTATGTATAGACCGAACTTGTTATAACTACAACAGATAATGAGATGCGAAACTAAAAATTCTCTTATATGGGTAACTCAATACCCCAATTATGTGCACAAAATGTCAGCCCAATAGTATATCATACTATGAAGATCCTGTTCTAAATGGAGGCCTTAATAAATGCGGAAATCTTGGATTTAAATCCGAGAGTTATGTGTACTTCATAAAGTGAATGAGACAGAGGAGTCATTCTAGAATGTGTGGACATCAACATTGTCCTGGCAAACCTTTTCTATAAACACTTGATTTCTATTGGTTACTGCTCAGCCAATAGGATTTGGAGGCAGATACAGCTCAGATTTGAACTCTTCACCTTGATTTACCCTAAGAAACTCGTTTTTCCTATAACTTGATTTCTATTGGTCACTACTCAACCAATGGAATTTCGAGACGAATGGAACACAGATTCGAGTTCTCCATCCCATAAAACCTTGAACTATCATCTCTGTGATCGGAAGATAGAGCTCTATTTATGGATCAATTAGAGCGTGGACAAACACAGAACCGAATTCCGTTTAATTATCTTTGCAATAGGTGAGTTAACTTTCTTGTTTCCTTATGTTTTATATACCATTTTGTAGCTCGTGAAATTCTCTATCGAATAGTATATAATAGTTGGGGTTTTATTTTGAGTACGATAGGAAAAGCTTTTTACGAAAGCGGGGGTGGGTCGATTTTCGCATAGGAAGCCATAGGAAAAAATGAGTATTTTTGCAATAACTCAGGAATGGTTCAGCCAATTCTTCTCATCTTCGAACTCGACCGAGACATTGTTAAGACTGAACTGTGTAGAAAATTTCATCACGATTGGACTCTCCCTTCAAAAGTTATCGTGTTAACGGCCGGACCGACATACTGACCAATTCTAGAGTGTACTCACTCTTTGAGTACACAAAAAGATCTTGATTCGATTCTGTTCGGTTCATACAAAACAAAAGGATAATTCTTCCAAGATCACAAGTAAAATCTATCTATATTCCGCATGAAATTTCACTTAAGTTTTCGTGTGTCGATATCCTAAGTCTATCGATTCAGCGAAATTCAGAAGTTTCAAAGCGAAGCTATAGTGGAAATAAGGACTTGCGTATTAAAATGAGATGTATTTTTTCTTATTCATCGGTGAAGGTACTATTAGCCATTACGAAATATAGTGTTCTCCACTTTTTTTTTCGAACAGTTCAAGAAAGCGATCAGCTAGAGACCTGCAGTTTTCATCTAACTAGAAAAGATTTCAGGAGGTACAAGTCTATAAAGAACCAAGAACCAATCTTACTTTGAAGTTGCAGCATTTTTTAAGTTTTTCAAAGATTCGACTATAAGATTATGACACTTAAAGAGTTTTTAATTCTTCATGATGGGTAAATAGGCTGCAACATCTCCTACCGATCTACGTAAACCCGACTTAGATAGCTACTGTGATTCAAGAGATAAATCATTTTTAATAAAGTTTACTGATCTCCTTATCTTCTACTTACAATGGAGGTGTTTGTATTTTCTGTCGAGAAAATGTCACATATTCGGGTGAAATGAAAGCTCTCATCACCAACCTAACAAGGTTAAAATATTAGCGACTGTTGGCTTGTCTGGAGGGAGATAGATATTCCATTTTTTCTGTATTTACAGTATATGTTGAATGTCTATAATAATTGAAGATGATTCTCATTGAAAATACGAATGGATAATAGAGATACTCTGAGCAACATATCCACAGCGGTGATTTCAATTAATCTGATCTGTTTAAAGTTTTACAAAGCTTTGTGCTCGATGGGTGTATTATAAGCTTATTGATGACTGAAAGCAGTTCCATGTTCAATTGCACTGCTATTTACGAAAAATATTTGAAGAAACTAATTTCACCTTGTATTCTACGTTATCAGTAGTGACAGATTATAGTGTTATCACAATAATAAAAATATAACGTATAGTACATTTAAAAAGTCCGTGC